TCACTCACTCACTCACTCACTCACTCACTCACTCACTCACTCACTTACTCTGTCTATCTATCTCTATCTATCTATCTATCTATCTATTTATCTATCTATCTATCTATCTATCTATCTATCTATCTATCTATCTATCTATCTACCTATCTATCTATCCATTTATCTATCAGTCTGTCCCATGTGTATGTCTGCTATCTATCTATCAATCGATCTAGCAATCGATTCTTCGACTAGTAGACAAATGATAACTCATTATATAACCTATATGAACTACTAACCTGCCAAAAATATGAAGACATCAACCACAACTTGCTTCGTCAAAGGCAGATTCGACATCTTTGGTTCCAAATCAGGTCTTCCTCAACACTCTTAAAGACACGAAAACTCAGAAACAACACCTCCGTACAAATCAGGTGCTCTGAATATTCAGTTTTTTGGGGGAAAGTCAATCTCTTCTTCTTCTCGGTTCTTCTTTTCCGTCGTCAAGTTTTTACAGACAAGAATCAAAGAAGGACTAAGTATCTCACCAGCTGGATCTGCTGGAGAATTTAACAAATAATATGACACGAACTTCGTGCCACGGATCCAGGAGTCCACAATGCAAGGTCCGAAGTATCAGGAGCTCTGACGTTATTCTCCTCGCTTTCTTCTTTACTGAAAGCAAATAATTGTTCTGTTCTCTTTCGTAATGTCCGTCGTCAAATAATAATTAAACGACGGAAAGCATGACGTTTATCAGCTTCTTCAATGGATTTTATTTCAAGCGTGAATAAAAAGTGTAAATTGAAAGTCACGAGCTCGCTATTTGCGTCTACTTCTGTTTTATAACAGAACTTCGCTGGTGACGTCAGGAGTTGCTTGTCAAGTAGAAGTTGTCGCTCTCTTTTCTGTTGAGTGGAACTCTTTACTCTCCGTGTCGATAAGATGCTTGGCCTGCCAGAAGAGAAAATTCAAACAAGTTTAAGAAAATAAAACTCCTCTATCATGATTGAAAACGACATCGAGCGTTTTAGTAAATTAAGAAAAAAACAGGAATAATTCCGAAGGCAGAGTTTACTGACTACAGAGAGGGATGGGGGGGGGGGAAGAGAGAGAGAGAGAGAGAGAGAGAGAGAGAGAGAGAGAGAGAGAGAGACATAGAGAGGGCAAGGTATAGATAGAGAGAGAGGGGAGAGAGATAGAGAGAGGGGGGGATAAAGAGAGAGACGGGGCGAACAATCTGGATAGATAGATAGATAGATAGATAGATAGATAGATAGATAGATAGATAGATAGATAGATAGATAGATAGATAGATAGATAGATAGATAGATAGATAGATGGGAGCATATAAAAAGGAGAATAAAGAACGAGGAAAGAGGAAAGAGAAATAAAATAAAAGTACAGATCATAATTAACACTTCTAGAACATGTTAAAGTTAAGCACTGACGTCAGCAATAGATTATCACCTGTGAAAAAAAAAACAAGTTACATGCCAAAAACTGCCTAGAAGATCATTTTGTGATTTCAAAAAAAAGATCCAATACATGTATTCCAAAAAGATGAACGCTGATTATTATCAGACTTGACTGTGACTTTGAGTAGCAAATAAGACTCTATGGTGAGGATTAGAAGTTAGAAGTCACGACAGCATGTTTGTTCAAAAAGCAGGTGCCCTCTAAGCAGGACATGATAAATTTAATTTTGGTTGGGTTTTTGTGGTTCTTTTTCCTTTTTTTTCTTTTTTGGGCTTCATTTACATTTTTTTTAAAGCCCGAGGATTCAGTATCCCTTTTGTTTCAAAGGAAGAGAGAACATTTTTCCGTAAAAATGAGAGTTTTTTAAACGATATTATCTTAAAAAGAAAACAAAAAACGGTTATCATGAGGGAGTTCAGACTTAGAAGGCATGTCTGGAGCAGTAAGAAAACAGCTTTATATGATTTTCTTATAATGTAGATTAATATGAAGCTCCTCAAGACTTGCCAGTGATTAAAGATAAGGGGAAATATGGAGACGAGAAGTGAACTTGCATCCATCTAGCTCATAGATGTTTTAAAGAAAGGGGGGAAACAGGTTTATTTTCTTTTTGACTACTCAAAGAAAATGATGATCTTAAAAAATGATGTTAATAGGACAATAAAAACAGCAAGAATAAAAACAACACAAACAACAACAGCAGCAGTAGGCTATCAGCAGTAACAACAACCACAGCGACAGCTGCAACAACAACAACAACAACAACAACCACAAAAACCACAAAATAAACACTGTACTCCAAAATGTTTTACCGGTATTTCTTCGTCAACGCTTGTTCCCCACGTGTCCCCAACTACAACGATTTTCAAGTGAATAGCCCCCTTTATCAAACCGCCGTCCTTAAATAGCCCTCCAGTTCTCCCAGTGACGTCACAACTTGTAGTGCCGCGCTCTCCGTCCAAACAATCGTGCTGGCCCAGCACCGCAGTGTCGGTATCGGATTTTTACAGCAACTGGTTCAAAGAATCGATACTTACAGCCCATGTTGAATACACTGGATGACATTGATACGGTAATGATGATGATTATGAAAATAATTACAGTAGCAGTGCTAATGATAGAAGAAGAAGAAGAAGAAGAAGAAGAAGAAGAAGAAGAAGAAGAAGAAGAAGAAGAAGAAGAAGAAGAAGAAGAAGAAGAAGAAGAAGAAA